GAGATGATAATGCGTTCGAATCGGTTTTGGTTTCGGCTTGGTTCGGGATTTGCATTCGACATAGTCCTCAATCCTGGCCAAAAACGCAACTCAAAGTTGGTCAATTAAGTGCCTTGTACTGTCGGCCATCAGCACTTGACCAGTGTCCAGAGCTCTGGACACGCTTACACTCCGCTTAATTGAGTTTATTAGCCTCTTACTAGTGGCCTGAGAAACGAGCAAAAGTAAAAATATTTATATATATATATAAATTCGGTGCGGACAACGATCGGCTACCTCGCCGCAGAAATAACGGTAACATCAAAATATTTCCTTTACAACTTGTCCAATTCTCCTGTCATGCTCGGCCTCCTCCAACTCCCCCAACTCCCCCCAATCGCCCTTCGTCTGTTGGCCAAATTAATGACACTCACTCACCGGGGTACATATATGTGAAATGATAAAACAAGAAGAAAGAAAATGCAATTTTTGAAATAATTAAATATGAAGGCCGGCATTTCTTTTGGGCCACATCTCGAAGAAGGTTCTCACATACTACGGAAATTTGAAATACCTTGCTTGTTCGTTTAATTTTTGGGTCAACATTTTATTCGCAATTAGCTGGGCAGAACATATAAAATATGTAAATTGCTTGCAGGTTTGTTGGTTTTGAGAGCACAATTTCGGGGGTTGGAAATTATTAGGCAGGGAATGAAAATTATGGTGGGAATATCTCGAACTTCTTAGCATACAAGTATAAAAATAAATGAATAAAATAATCGTATTAAGAACAAGATTAAATCTCTTAATACCATAAATGACAAAAAAATAGTTACACTAGGCAAAAAAACCTTTTTTTTTAACAATTTGTCTTTATAATACATTTTCTCTAGGCCAAGCATTTGTAAAAACAATATTTTGAGAAACATTCTTTCTTTTTTTTGGTGGACATATTTTGTCCATACTTAAAACTTTACGTTCTTTTCTTTGATTTTATTAGCTTTAATTTAAAGTAAAACGTCAATATGTGCTAGTTTTTTTGATAATTACAGGAAAGATTGGCAACTTTCTTAAAAATCAGGAAAAAGCTGGGTCAATAACCAAGACGTTGGTAAAACTTCAAGTGAAAAATGTCAAGATGGCAACCCATTTGGAGCGACAAATTAATGAGTTCATTTTGGGCCAAGGAATGCTGCAAATAAAAAATAGGCAAGACACTTGCCACTTGAACCCGTGCTCTCATTAAGCCTCGAACCGACACACATACAATTATACGGCAGCTGCTTCTGAGATGAAAGCCGCCATTGAGTGGCTGTTGGCCAAGACCAAATCTGAACTCGGTGGGGAGAAAAAAACTCTCACTAGGCACTTAAAAATTAACGCTTTTGACAGCCAAACGGACTTTCAAATACGGAGCCACATGAAAAATAAGAAAATAAAAAAAGAGCAAAGAACCGAAAAGCCGGACAGACTTCCCGCTCGAAACTCTGGGATTGTAACGATCCAAAACGCTGGGGACGAAGCGCAAGCGCAACAAAGTGTCAATGCGAGTTTGAGGCGAGTTTAACAAGATTGGCAGCGACGGCCAGCGAGTCTTAAGATTTTCTCATAAGGTGCAAAATCTCTCGACATCATAAAACGAAGAGGCGAAGGGGGAGGGCTAACGACGCGGAGACAACAGAAACATGCACAGAGATGAGCATCCATAAAAAGTAACATTTTTGAGTTGGTTTTCGGTGTTACATATATTTTCCCCGAAGCTCCTAATTAGCCAAAGCCGGTTCTTTTGGCGTTTTGGTTTTTTTTCGACTGCTGTTGGGGATGCCGTTTAATATTTTATTATTCTTGGGTCCAGCCCCCCTCTTGCAATAAGCGAACAACAATGGAGCAGTAAAAATCTGGGGATAATAAATAAATTAACTCCTTAACGATGACAAGAAGCCAGCTTAAAGAGGGCTTGCAGCCGCAACGTCTCAATTAAGTTGTTCAAGCTCATTGTTTTCAAATTTTTGGCTTAATTTTCGTATGGTTATTGCTACTTTGTTTTTACTTTGCGTCTTCCGTTTTTTCGTTTATCTCATCTCGGCCGAAATCGCGGAAATTTGTAAGTGGCCGTGGCCATTTCAATTTGAAAATGGTTTCATAAATACCTAGGTTACTAACCCTGAACTGAAAGAATACAGCTTGCCCTTGCCACTCACATTGTAACCACGTCTTAATTAACTAATTAGCTAATTTGCAAACAATTAAGCTTAAGCTGGAAAAGAAAACCGAAATCCTAAGAAATCTTTCTGCAAAGTTGTCTAGTCATTTGATTGCAGATTGCAGATCGGAGATTGGACGGCAGCTGCCGGAGTTGAAAATATTTATGGACAGTGAAATTGCTAGGAAAGTGAGGTGAGCAAACAGAAAATATCCATTTAATGCATAACACAAATATTTGTACATCGAAAGAAAGAGTGAATGGGAGATGTTGGTACAAGAAAATGGAAATTAGTGTCTGAAAATAAAAAGGAAAATTTATGAAGTGTGAGAATACTTTCAAATACTCATTGCAAAATTGTCTTAGTTTTCTATAATTTGTTAAAATTGTAGTTACTTTAGAGCGGCATTGCGTTAACCTTTTGAATTCTAAAGAGTTGTTTTTAAAATTCATTTTATAAAGACCCCATATTATCCCCATAACATCCTACGTTTAAGCTATTCTAACTCTCATTAAATTTTTAATCTCCGCAACCAACACTCGTTCATCGATAGTTCCAGCTCCACCTGTGTTTTATTGGGCGCTAATAGCTATTCATCAAATTAGGATATTGTTGCAGAATTTAGTTCCCACGTTTTGCAAAAAAAAAAACAGAAGAGAAGAAAATCTAAACTGTTTTATAACTGTACCAAACAAGAGGCATTCACTTTGGCCTGAGAACATTTCGAGCTGTCCACCTGCAGCACAGACACAGAGTACAAAAGCCATGGAGGAAAGAAGATCTCTGTTTTTTCACCCCCAAAAATGTTGGCTGAGAAAAAAGATCTACGCATGAAACTACGAGTACCTGCCACACGAAAAGCATTTCCAAACAATTGGGTTTCGAAATGACAGTTTTTCTCGATGGGAGTTGGAAATTGGAACAATGCAATGGAAGCCGGTGTTAGTTTCTATTGTCAGGCAATGGAGAGAATAATGCTTTTTAATAATTACCAGTAAAAAAACAGACGAGAAGCAGCTGCAAAAAAACAGAACTGAAAAAATATTAAATTTTGGCGCCCCAAACTGAAAACAAGTTCGTTGTCTGAGTCTTTCGTTTTTTTACCCCTCCTTAAATGAAGGAAGCTTGTTTTTTGGGGTCTCGATTTAACGCTTCGCAACTGACAAATGAGCAGCATATCCTGTTGATCCTGTTGCCAGGAAATAATTATAATGCTGGTGCCAAAAAACAACATTAATTGCAAAAATAATTAAAAACTCATAAATTAGCACATGCAACAACAGCCCGAGTAACAAAGTGCAAATTTAATTATGGCCTTCATTAATTAATTCATTAAGAAAGAGGAGGCCAGAGAGCGAAGTGTTTTTTGCCACTAACTAAATCAATCAACGCCAAATACAGGCGATCAAGAGATTCCCTAAGGACGTGGTCTGATGGAGTTGCAACCGGTTTGCCGTCACTCCTTTTTGGCATCCTTAGAATACATTATGCAACTGGCAATGCCACTGCCACCGAGAGGTGAAGTCCTCAGTCCTCCCTTTGGCTTTCATAATTTATTGATTTTATATGGCGTCACATTTGCCCGGCACCGCCATCCGCTGACAGTTTTTGCCACTGTCGGACATTTTGACAGTTGCAGGTTGTCATCGGGCGGATCCGAACCCCCTTCCCTCCTTCGACGGTGCATCATCCTGTCACATGTAATTGCAACTGACGCATTGCCAAAAATACGCATTCGTATTCTCATCTGCCCCTCCTCATCATAAACTCAACTGTCATTTCAATTTCCCCCATCACGGCAGCAAGGTGCTCTGCATATAGTATAGCGACCAGTCAAATGTATGATTAAGTAATATCCGAATGCCGTAATTTTACCCACGGCGAATCGAAAAGAAGGTTCGTGGCTTAAGTCTTTTGTTGCCGAGTGAGTTTTACCCCAGCAAATAATTATGAGAGCATTGCGTAATGAAGTTGATAAGAGCGGGGAATACGGGTTTCCGGCTGATAAGGCATACAAATTATATACTTAAGCAAGAAAAGGGTGGTTATCTTGAAGGATCTTGACGCTCTCCTTCCATGAGAAGCTTTTAAGCTGACCCGTTACCGTCATTTAGCTTTTAAGCTTTTTTAATTCAACCATGTACTATACTATATTTAATCTAAGTTGTCACGAAAAAATGAAATATTAATATGCAAATATATTTTTCAGACTTTAATTTAGGCAAACAAATATGCACAAAGGATTACCATAATTTAAACCCTTATTATATGCAACCATCTCAATTATCTTTCTTATCAGATGAATATTAGGCTGGAGGGCGGAACGAATTAAGTTGGCTTCTCATGGAGGGGAAAAATAAAAAAACCAGGAGGGGCTTCGCGTTTTTAAAAAATGTTTATGGTGGACAATAATTTTTATATTTTATAGCATACTCCTTTTTTTATAAATGCGCTTCTAGGACTTAATCCAAAGGTGTGAATACAATTTTTCACACTGTTTTAGTTTAATTGTACATATTAAAAAAGAGAACTCTTCCAGCTGCTTTTGCATCTGCCACCAATGACTAATTTCAACCCTTTTATTTTGGTGCCCAAATTTTTGATGAATAGATAATAAATTATACAGCCAGAATATAACTTTAATTAATACCTGTATACAGAACCCTTTCGCAACAGTCCTTTCTCCGATCACGAAAGAAAGGCAGCTGCACTTGCTGGTCCGCTAAAGAAGTGCTAATGCCAGCAACCATCAACGAACATTATCGAGTGGGCCAAAATTAAATTTAACCAACAATTAAAATGCAATTTTGGGCCAAATCATTTTGCAAGTCGAGCAAATGCAGCTGCAACCAGATGAACCTGTTGCAGATGTCTATCTGTCGCTGGCCGCTCATTAAGTTTATTAATTTCTGATATCAAGACAGTACAATTTTCGTTTGCTTTGCATTTGTGTCGCCTGCCACATGCAACAGAAAGAGGTGTGCATGCACCGTGACCAGTTTTCCCCGAAATATATATCCGAAAATAAAAAAAAGAAACATAGCTACCCAAACCCCAAGAAGAACTTCTTCAACCCTTGCGGATGAACTACGAGCGTTAAATTTTCAACTTGGCGTGCCTCACATTATTCTCCGCTGTCCATTCGATTTCTACGCTTTCTACACTCACATCTTCCTCGGCTTGTTGTGTTTGTGAACAGGTGTAATGATTTTTGGTTTTGCACCTTGACTTTCTGCTTCCGTTTCAGTTCGAGCGACGCTTGTCGATAAGTTTTTGGCTTGGGGTAATTTGTGTGCATTTACTTCCTCGCCGTCGAGCTTCCGTACAGGGTGTCCAGTTATGTTTTTCGCAACTTCCCCTGCTTCATCAGCCAGGCAATTCAATTTACCTATAATATATTCAATAGGGACATTTACTTTTTACCCGACTCCTTGCGACGCTTAAGATCCTCAGATTCGGCCTGAACACAGTGGGCCAGGTATAAGTGCAGCAATGGCACCACAATTAGCAATTTGGGAAACGATCGCCAAGTAATCATCATTTCAAAATCCGCCTAAAGGTTCCAAAGGTTTGATATTTTGTTATGATATTTCGAATATATTAATGTAAATTGTGGCCTACTTTTTTAAATTTAAAGACACCCTGTTATTCCTGCTTCCGTTGCTTAATTGTTAACTTTTTTTTGCTAAGGACTTTATTAGCCCCCGACTCGCAACGACAATGCATTTAACCAAGCAGAGAGAAATTAAAGAGTTATTTTAATTTAAATAATTTTAGGAATTTAGTGACTGAATGTTCGATTTGCCAAGCCCTAAATAAATTTCTTTTATAATACGAATGTAGCAAACCATTGATCTTTAGTTGACTGGTCTAAAAATGATTTATTTAAGAAAAGCTAAAGGAAAACTATAAGCTTACTTGAACCAAATAGAAATAAAATTATTTACTAAAGTTTTTAAAATTAAAGAACGATTTTTATTTTATAAGTAAAATGATTTTTTCTTTTCAGAGTTCAAATAGTGGATTGATAATAATTGATAATTGACTGTAAATTCGCTCAGTGTACTGCCCCGGTAAAAAGGATATTTTGTAATATAACCGCAACGCAACTTCCTCAATATCAATCATTACGCTCGGCTATATTACCAACCCCTTTAGCCATATCCATGCCATGGCTTTCTTCATAAAGCATATTTAGTGTGTAATGTGCGTTGTCCCCGAAACAAAGTTTCCGTTTTATATTTATTTTTGGGTAAGCTGCAATTTTCAGGTGTTAGCCGAGAGCTTCCAACTCCAACCAACTGGCCAACGGAGCGAACTGAATTTAGCTCAACCCTTTCATTAAAGAGGGAACAAAAATGATATATTTAATCCGTTCGTTCGTTGGGTCAGTGAAGCGTATGCTTGTCTCGGAGCCACGACGACAATGACAGCGAATGATAAACCTGATATGGAACACACTTAAGGGCTCAACTTGGGTAATCTGCAGTTTGCTCAAGTAGAAACAGCAGCTATAGCAGCGCCAACTGAAGAACCACGCAACCAAAATTAAAACTGCAGGACCGGCAAGTCGGAATAAGGGGGAGGGGGCTGTACCGTCGGAGATCGCAGATCGTTTCCAGTCGTGCAGGTGGATTTCTCAAGTGGCTGCGTCCGCTTTCTTGGCCCCGCTGTCCCTCTCTCTCTATCTCTCTTCCACCGACTCCCTGTCCCGCTCCATCTCTCTGTGTCAGCTGATTCGCGGAGAAACTAAAAACTTCTCGAGGGTAATAGATACATCTGTACACGTCTGTGCACTTGGTTTCAAGTGAAACAAGTGCATCTTAGAACAAAGGGTTGCCCATGAGAATTGCCAGATGTTATTTAAGAGCTTACATGAATATTAATGGGCAATACATTTTTATTGAACCTTAAAATAGAGTCATGCCGTGTTCATGCAGGTTTCCGGACTGACAGATCCAATCTATATGTTAATGCTAGTTTAAAAAATATATTTAATTTATAATAATACATTTATAACAACAAAATTCAAAGAAAATAGCAGCCAAAAGTAAACTTCATTAATTTTTCTTACATACATACACAGAATTATAATATAAAGTTAGAAAACACAAAAAATATGTTAGATATATTGTTGAAATAATTTATTCGAATGTCATCATTTATTCAATTGCAAATTATTTTTTAAATTTATTGATATTCAAATGTCGTATTTTTTTAAAGCATTATTTAAAATGTTTATGTTGAGATATCTAAACAATTTTTCAATTGTTTCAAATTTATTTTTAGTAATATCCCAAATTCATATTAACGCTAAGAATTAGTGGTTTTAATTCCCTCATGGTTGATCAGTTCAACTCCTTTGAAATCGAAACCTTAGCGGATTTCTTAATTTGTGATTGACATATTTATCTCCCCAAATATACTATATTCTTTGCTCCTTAGCGCAACTTTAATGTGACATCCATAAAAATGTCGCCTAAAAATCCCCAAAAAAGTAGTAAATGCCAGCTCAACGGAGACACGAGTCCTGGATCCTTGGACTGGCGGCAGTTGTCACTGGCATTATGCATGCTTGCTTAAGATTTTCCCCGGAGATCCTTGAGGAGTTTCCTTCACGGACAGAGACAGCAGGGGGAATTGCAATTGTGTGTGGTGTCAAAAGTCGCACAGCAATCCATCAATTTAACAGCCATGGAAAATCAACACAATGCCAAGCAATTGTATGAAATATGCCAGTCAAAGGAAGGAAAAAAATAACTCGAAGCAGGACAAAGGACACAGTAGTCGTCACAGTTTGGGGTGGAAGTAAGAAATGTGAATGCGAATACGAATAAGAAACTGAATGATTTCCTTTTCCTTTGACTTCTTGGCTTGTTTTTCTGGGGGAAAAAGATGCCACAAAGGAAATACATTTATGTGGAAATGTATGTCCTTTGTGGCATGTTTGGGCAATGTTAACACAGCAGCTCGGCAAACTTTAAGCTGTTCAAACATTTCGCCAAAGCAGCTGGCTCCAGTGTCAACAAACTCTCACTGTCCTCGGTTTTTTGGGTATCTTTGGGTCTATGCCCCAACGCGTGCCATATGCCCGGGCCGGTCCCAAAATGTCAACTGCAAGTCTGTGTAATTAAAAACCGCACACCCTCCGATCGCTGCACGCTGATCATTTATTTATGCATGGCCCAAAATCCACTTTCAACCTGCTGCTGCCACTGACCAGATTTTTATTGGCTTCGCGGCCCAAACCCAAACAAAGGCCCAGTAAAACAAAACCAAAACCAAAACCTTCTCGGGCCAGCCGGTGACCATCAGGCTTCACTTCGCGTCTGCTCCTCATTTTTTCGTACTTGCTTTAATTTTTTGTAGTTTTTCGTGTGTGGCATCAACGAGCGACATCATGCCGCAAACATTCCACACGATAAATTTCAGCAGTAAAGTTTAAGCCGTCTCTTAAAAAGTTGTTTTGGCCTGCTCTCTTTAAATTCATATAATTTTGCTTAATGTTGATTAAATATTACAGTATGTTTATGGCGGACAGCAATGTACTTTGAATATGGGATGGTCTGGAGTTTGGGAAAGAGAAAACCTTTAAGTATAAAGTCCTGCTCATATATTTTTTAAAGGCCCCTTTTAAGGGTCTTATATTTTTAATCTATTAAATATATTAGCAAATGATAATATTTAAAGTTGTACAAAATATATATTTCAAAATTTGTACATATGCAACGTACATACTGCGACATTTTTCTTAACCTCTTAGAAATTCCGAATGGATCGCATAAGAAAGAGTTTAAATAGTTCTTATAATAAATAGTTTAATAGTATTTAATTCTTTTAAATTAACTAAAATAGTTAATAGTTCACCTTGCTTTAATACAGAACATACTGATAGAAGTAACGGGATTTTAGAATTCATTCGTAGAATTAAAGAGAATTACAATTTAATTGCATATTGATTTCATTCTGCGAAATTTCTTAATCGTCCATGGTTCCCTTTTTCATTTTCATTAGAAACCATTTGAATTTAAAAAATTCGCAACTTTAAATTCCGATTGGTCATAGCCAATGCTCATTAACTTACCAGACATTGCTTGTTTAGCATAAAAACCGCGTAAAAAATCCAGTCAGGAATACAAATAAGCCATAATCGAATTAGACAAATTCAATGGAAATGGGCATTGTAACTATTTGAACGCTTTTAAATCGTTGGGTGTTGGCCTAATCGGAGGATCGATAGAAAGAAATACCTTAGTCAGGGCACGATTGAAATAAGAAAACATTGTTCTAGAAATCGCTGCAGCAACAGGCGATTTTATCATTACAGCAGATACTAAGCCCATAGATGTTTGTCTAGGAAAAGGATCCATGGTCTGGCGGTGTTGTGATTGCAACCATTTTGCCGGAATCCCAGAGCAGCTGCCAGGTCAAGAACAAAACACAAAAGTAAATCTCTCCTGCATGTTAAAAAAGGAATCCATTTGGGCCGGTGCAGCCTGTTGCACTCAGGATGCTGCTGATCCTCCGGTCCCATCCAAGTACCTGCTGCGACCACCAACTGCCAGCCCTCAGAGATTCGTTTCATTTGTTGCACATCCCTATTCCTACCTACTAAGGCACCGAAATCCCCTCTGCAATCTGTTGCTCTTGCACATGTCTCTGATTCCCGTCGAGCCTAAAAAAATGGTGGCGGACCGAATTCGATTCCCCGGCAAGGTGTTCCACTGACCCTCTGAACATTTCGACTGATTTTTGTTTTCGCGGAATGCCCGATGGAGGAAATTTCCAGCACATGGTGCTTCCTTCGCTGGGGAAACCTCGATTGGAAATCGCTGTAACAAGAGTAGATACTGTAGGTACAGTACGGGTTCAAAGTGTTCTTTAAATTGGAGTGGGCCTTTCCTTGGGAATGGCTTGGAATTTCATTAAGCACAAGGACGGCTTGAAGGTTTTTTAAAATGTAAAAGATTTGCGATACACATTTAAGATCCAGTTTTCCTAAAAGCCAAACGCAAATTTGGTTTTATATTTGGCCAAATGTTTCTACCCTATTAACAACTGCAAGTCCACATTGCCCAATTTTGATTGAAAAATATATCATTTTATCTTTTATAAGCCACAAAGATTTTTTTCAAATATTGAAAGGAGATCTTAATATTATGTAGACTATATTATATTGGTAAGATTTTTTGCATAACATTTGATCCTTTTTTCCTTCGTTATTAAATACATCGTTAATCTTGTAAATCTGGTTGTGGCTGCCGCCCACAAACTGCTAATAAAGTTGTCATTTCTGCACGATTGAGCAGTTAGGCAAACATTTGCGAGCGGCTGGGCAGGGGAACCCCCCATGAGACAGCACGTAGAGTAAAATGGCCAACAATTACCGGCAGCACCGGCTGAGAGTCATTACAGTGGCCAGAGCCAAAGTTGGCCATAACAAGCAAGTGGCGCTCTATAATCATAGACCCAACATGGAGATGGAGATCGAGATGGAGCTGGAGCTGGAGTTGGAGTTGGAGATGGAGTTGGAGATGGAGTTGGAGCTGGCCGCACTG